AACCTTAAGCTTCTACTTTCCCTCACCAATTTCTTGATTCCAGTTTGAATGGATTATTTAGAAAGCAAACATTGAGGAATGTCAGAATACCTGAAATCCAGGTGGACCTGTTGCTCCTTGTTCTCCTCTTTCACCAGGAGGACCCTGGGAAAAGAAGAATATCATTCATAGTTTTCCATTCCACCAACAACTCCTTCCTTAGCTCATTTGTGTTGAGAGGTAATAACTTTCTGTTCCTAGATATGAAGCTTTCAAAAACCCTAAAGGGACAATATCAGTCAATGCAATATTAATAATAACTGTAATAAAGAAAACAAAAAATAATGTGGTCCTGTATAGTCACGATGACTAGTGGTCCATTCTACCCACTAATCTAATTTCAAGGGTTTTGGCTAACCCAGTATTTTGAAAAATATTGCTTTCCAATAGATTCCATGATCAAAGAATGGAGCTTGTGTAATTCTTCTAATCACTGGAACCAATATGATGAGTAATAAGTTAATGATAATTTGTTTTAGTCATTGCTTGCATTCATTACTCTTTAGTAATATATCTTATTAATGTAACTTATTTATATGTAAGAAATGTAAGTAAATTACTATTTAGTATATCAATGACTTTTATGTTTCTGACCAATATGATGAGTAATAAGTTAATGATAATTTGTTTTAGTCATTGCTTGCATTCATTACTCTTTAGTAATATAGCTTATTAATGTAACTTATTTATATGTAAGAAATGTAAGTAAATTACTATTTAGTATATCAATGACTTTTATGTTTCTGAGTATATATTACTTACAGCAGGTCCTGGGGGTCCATGTGCTCCTGCTTCACCATCCTTTCCAGGGAGCCCCTGTTAAATAATGGGAGAATGATTAGTTTATGGGGTTAACAGAATCATATATGTGGGTGTATACATGCAAAAGACTGAAATTACTCAAATATTAAATTTACTGACCGGTCCACCGGGAGATCCAGAAGGTCCTCTTTCCCCATTTTTACCTGGTGCACCCTAAAAAGACAAAAGATGTAGTTTAATATTCTACCAATTATTATACAGTAAAAATGATAAGCAATTAAACATTCTGATGGTAGCATGTTTTGAAACTCTTTATCAGTTTCATTTCTATGAATAACCCGCTCTTTGGAGAGCAGCTTTTTTCCCTGTTCAGGTTTACTTTTGACACACAAAGAATTGACATCTCAAAGAGAAATAAAAAATGTCATAATAAGTTATAGAAACCCTAGGGTGGTCTGGATAATAATGAGGTTATACTAACCTCGTTACCTTTCGGACCAGGGAAACCCATCACGCCTGGCTGACCTCGTGGACCTGCTGGGCCTGGGGGACCACTCCTCCCGGATTCTCCTGGTGAACCCTAAAAGTCATAGAGGTGAATAGAGAATCATTGCACAGACAATGAAGAAACCTAAGAAAACACTGGACTATCACTGGATAAATCTATCCAATTTTGTCACTTTAATTATAATGGAATGATTTTTTTCCCCAGAAGCAGAGATTAATGTGCTTCTGATAATATTGGGTGTTAATATGGAGATTATATAAAAAGGCTTACAGAGCTGTTAAATAAAATGGTCAATGAAAATGTTGTTAAACTTAGTGGGAAACAACTCCCCATGAAGTGAAATGAGTGACTCCATTCGTGCCCATAAAATGACATCACGATAAGAGTGGCCTTAGGTAAAACCATGAAATATAGTGACTTACAGCAGGGCCTGGTTTTCCGTCTACTCCTGGGGCGCCTGGACTTCCCGTTAAGCCCTGGGTAAGAAAATAAAAAATAAAAATTATGCAAGAAGTCCATGTTCACAGCATTAGCTCTTCGAACCCTGCTTTATTAAGTGAATAGGGATTAAGAATACAATTGGGGATACAGAACTGGCAGGATAAATGGTTTCAAATACTTTTAGTAGAGAAATCAAAGAGAGGCATCCACCCAGCTCAGAAATATCTGATGGCAATATATAAGGTAGGGATTTAAATATGATCGTTAAGTCAGGAGCATTACAGTCATTTCTATACTGCAATATTAACAAAAAACTTTATCCAAATAGAAGCAGGGTTTTTTTCCCCCCAAGCATCAAGTTCACAATGATGGAGGAAAAAAGCCTTCCTGACAATACCTATATATGCAAAAAGCTAAGTGGGTTTGGACTTAGCTCATACGTGTATGGGAGATGACCACAGAATCCCAGGAGCATAGGCTAGCCTGGGAAGATGAAAAATATCTTGGAAGAAGGTAACAGGAAACACGTTTTATATTGGCTACCTGGCTGTGTCCATATCATTGCTGAATTTGACTCAAAAGAGTCTTTACCTTTTATTGAGAATATAGTAATTTGAAACGAAGGTCAAGTTACATTTACTGGATGGTGTGAACAATTGATTACTGCAATTGTCATGAAAGGTAACCAAGTGACTAAAGAAGCTTATAGTTCTTTAGTTCATGAAAAGTTAAGTTACAGACAAAAACTCAACCAAATAATAATGAAACTTAATGATACCAACATCATTTCTTATCATGGCTCTTGGTCCTAAAAGTCTATTTATCCATTCTTTAAGGTACTTTATTTCTACACACCTGACTAGTGTTCTTCATTTCCTAAGAGAACTAACCTACCTCACTCACTTGTTTAAAGGTACACCTGAGTGAGTACCCTGTTTGTTTTTTAAGTTATGTACTATACAGGGAAGGTTTGGGGTAAGGTCCTTACACCTAATTCTCAGAAAAAGCTTCCTTAGGTTGCAGATAAGGGCTCACACACTAAATCAATCTGGACAGCTAGCACAGAAAGGACCAAGCTAGATCACGTGTGTTCTTCTTGAGACCTGATTTTCTCTGTAGAGGGATTATTTTTCTTCCTACAACAACAACAGAAAGAAAGAAATGGTGCAACATGGAAGCTCTCCCTTGCTGCCAGTCAAGAAACAGGCCCACCATTTTCTCACTCCACTACCCCCCAGTGAGGTACAGTTCTTTATATGCTTCAAAACCTGTATAATAGGGCTACGCAACGTATCCTGGGCTAATGACTTTGCCTTTTAGAGAGATATGGGGAGCTGTGTTCCCAGAAGTAATGAGTGGGCTACTAACTAACTAAATTGATCGCATAGCGTTGATATTTTATTAAAATTAAAACCATTTCAAAAGAGCATACCCTGGTCATATATTTCATACCGTCCCCTTTCCTTCTCATTAACAGCATCTCAAGTTCTCTGAGGGCTGTGCCCCAAACTTTCTGGAGTTGCATTCTTAAGGGAACAGTGAAATATTAGCTATAAAGCAAACCCAGGTGTCTTTGAGATACAGCTGATTCTCAGGACTGCTGTTGAGATAGTTGCAGTAAATGTAACAAATATCTACAGTCTTGAAATCTGAAATCCAATCAGGGATGTATTGGTGTTTTGTTTTTGTAGCTCTAACTGGTCAGGTCCATTTTTCCTAATAACATCTGCATATTCTTCACCCAAGAGATTTCTACTTACTCTCATTCCTGGAAGACCAGGGCTGCCATCCCGTCCTGGTTCACCAGGACCTCCTCTTGGTCCAGTACTTCCTGGACCACCTCGCTCACCAGGTGCCCCCTTAAATGACATTGGACAAAATGATCACACGAGGGCATCAAGGACAGGTGAAAACATAAATCATATTATGATCTCAACAAAAAGTAGCAAATTTGTTTAGAAACCAAAGAAGGACATTCTTCACCTTTTCACCTGGTGCTCCATTAGATCCAGCAGGACCGCGGAAACCTGGGAGACCCTGAAAAGTAGAAACACCAACATTTTTATTTTCCAAAATGGAAAAACTCATGAGGAATTTCCAAAGGTAGGTGTATCATGTACTAATGAAGTTGAGAAGTCAATACATATTTTCAGTTTCTTATTTGTGTTATAAGGTTCCTATGTATGACTATTCTGGGATCCATTGAATAGAATAACTGCAGACTATACCCTTGTTAATGAACTGAAATTTTGCTCCTAGACTGTAGCAGGAGAAAAATAATGTTTGAGAAATATTATTTCAATCTAGTGATGAATAGATTAAAATTCATCAATCTATGATAATAAGATAGTAGAGTTTTGTCTATCAGCATTGACAGTCTCATTGGTTTTTCGGTGGTGAACACTCTGGTGAACAATCATACTGACTTTAATTCACATTCTTCTGAATAATCCCACTGATTTCGATAGCAATTGAGCCACAACTAAAGTACACAAATGGTGAATAATCTCACTGCTTTAATCTGGTTTAGGCACACAAGTAACTGGCAAAGAAATGTTGATTGCCACAGGGTGCCCTGGATTGCTGTCTAAAACCAAGTGGTTAGAATACTTGCCCTTTCGCCTGCGTTTCCAGGTATGCCATTGGTGCCAGGTTGACCAGGCGCTCCTGCCTTGCCTTCTTCTCCTGGAGGACCAGCAGAACCAGGGGTGCCGTTTTCACCCTTACAACAAAATGCCATCAAACAGTCATTGATACAGCTAATGACATTTCAGACAAACTTTTACCAGAACTGTATAGCTTTTCAAACTAAGGTGGGTTCTATTTCAGTAGAAAGGGGAGACCTATCCCACCCAGATCTACTACAGCTATGTACATCAATACTTACCCGTTCACCTCTTGCTCCTGGCTCTCCTTTTGCACCATTTTTACCAGGTTCACCCTGAAAAGAACACAGGACTATTTAATTTCTGTCAGAAGACTTGTCAAATCTGATTGAAATTATGCTTACAATCAAATATGAGAGTTTATTGACTTGGATTCAAAAAATTATGTGCACAAAGAGAAGATGCATCAGTACTGTTGCTCTGAATTTTTCTGCAAGCACTGATAGATTTCTCACAGTGAGGTGTCACTGAGCATTGAGGATATTGATATGGGGATGAAGATGATAGGCTATGGCATACAAACTGGAGAGAGTCATGTAAGATATTTTGAGATAGATCTATAATGTGGCCTATATCATAAGATAACATAAGATAGCATAAGATAACATAAGATAACATAAGATAGCATAAGATAACATAAGACAAGATAACATAACATAACAAACAACATAACATTGTGAGAGCTTTAGATTATAAACCATTTTTCTCATGCAACATTCTTTGGTTGTTGGAAGCAAGTCATCCTATATTATTTTTAGCTAGCAAAAAAAAAAAAAAAGGAAGCCTTTTGCCTGAAGGCTGGATTCAAGTCAGAAAGTTTGTATCTAGTTTGCTGAGGCCTAGGTAGAATCCTACTTCCTCTCCATATCCTTGTTTTGATTTCAGTCCTTTACTCCATGTTATTCTGGTATATTTCTCCTTGTAGGAGAAGGTTGGAAGCAGAAGACTCCATGAAGCAGGAAACATGGGACATAGAAATCCCTTTCAATTATACAAGGAGGCAGTTATACAATTGAGCACTGCTACTTGAAGACCACATCTGAATTCAAATAATTTTCTTTGTATTGAGGTGATTCAAGGTCAATATCTGGTTCACACTTGCATGTTTATCTCTTCAATATATAAATGAGCAGAGATGTATATTGCCTTCCTCTCGAAAATCAGCTATAAATGTTGTAAATTCTTACTCAGCATGTCATTCTCTTAAAAAAATATTTTCTTACTATTAATATTTGGATCTTCTGTGTCATCCCACTTTGCATGTTTTGTATCATTATAATAACACACCAGAAGAAAAAGCTGACAATCTCCAAATATTGGGATTTCATTCTACCCAAAGCATGACCTTCTGTCAAAAACCACTGCGAAGGTTTCTATGACATTGCACATTTTGTGTTTATCTGAATCCAGTTTTCATGTAACCATGACAAAAAAGAACATGCTGATGACTTACAGCTGGACCTCTTTGCCCAGGGATTCCATTAGTACCAGGAGGGCCAGGAGGACCACGATTTCCACCCAGACCAGGAGCACCAGGAATTCCAGCAGCACCCTGGATAAAACCAAAATGTGCTCAGAAAAATACCATATACATTATTTAAATCAACACGCAACATTACTTAGGAAAATGGAGTGGCAAATATTACTTTGCCTGAGATACTTACTGGAAGACCTTTGGCACCTGGATTTCCATCACGTCCTCCGGGACCCTATTGACAAAAGATAACAGCCTTTAGTAGGGTACACATTTTTGAAATACTGTGATGTTACTAAAATAAACTTTATTAAAATCTAAAATAGACTTGACACATACTTTTATAAAGAACATATGATACTTACAGGAGGACCAGCACCTCCAGGTTGGCCTTGAGGACCAGGTTCTCCTCTTGGTCCAGGAGGTCCACTAGCACCTGAGGGACCAGCAGGACCTGTTTCACCCTGTGAAGCAGAGAGAACCAGACCACTCAAACTAACAGCATGTGGGAGCTGTACATCTTTATTGGGGGGGGGGTTATCCCATGTGGGGGGAAAGGGTTGGCAATCTGCTAATGAACATTTTTTAGTAGAAGTGTTGTCCCAGTGTGGCTAATGAAAGCTCAAATGTTCTTGCCAGTGCACTGTGGAAAGTGTGCATAGAATGGTACCCAACAGGGGGTAGAACAGCAGAGGGTAGAGAGAACAAAGGGCGTATCAGCAACAGCATTGCACCTCAATATTCCACCTGTTACAGTGGCTTCCCTCCTTCCCTTCAAAAGGAATATATACAAAACACAGGCTAATATATGAAACAGGTTTTTTTTAGAGTGATAAGTTAATTCACTCTCTCTCTCTTTTTATATATGTAGAGGTAAATACCTTAAAACCTGGAGAACCAGGAAATCCTGAAGGTCCAGGAGGGCCTGGTGGACCCTGAAGAAAATAAGTGATATTATTACTTGAAGAAAATCATCAATGACTTTTTTTAAAGAAAAAAAATTGCTTAGTACATCATATTCTAATGAGAAGAACAAAGTCTCTAGTAATTGAACCAACCAATGTAAAATTTTATTTATTTATTTATATATCAAATTTATTTCACCGCCCAACTCCCCCACAAGGAGGGACTCTGGGCGGTTCACAACAAAACAACTTAAAATCAGTA